CTCCCCAAGTTACAAACATCTCATTTGCGTACACCCGCACATACAAACAGGAGCTCACTTGCAGCCTCGGGAGGAGGCAAGAGGCATGGGTGCTGGTCAGCAGCGCCAGTGCTGGCAGGAGGATGCTGGAGGAGCAGGGGTCAGCTGTGCAGCAAGCCGCTGAAGAGCAATGGCGCTTTGAAGGGGAAACTGTTGCATTTTCCAGCCAAAAGCTGCATGGCTGCCCCCTGCTCCTCCGGAGTCCTGTGACCCATGCTTGCTTCATACACTGCCTCCTGGTGAGAGTGGGTTGGGTGCACTCCACAGGGTAGGTGGGACTGGCCCTGGAGCGAGTGCAGGTGCTTGCTTCATACGCTGCCTCCTGGTGAGAGTGTGTTGGGTGCAGTCCACAGGGTAGGTGGGACTGGCCCTGGAGCGAGTGCAGAGCTTGCGGAGTAGGGGTTGGCAGTATCCAGGGGATGCCCAGAAGTCCCCTTCAGAATCTCGACCTACCTCCTCATCCTTCTTGAATTAAACCTGTCATTCCTCACACACCAGAATTCAAAGTTAAATAAAATAAAATTTCTACGATTTTTATTGCCATTATACAATATTGCAGCTACATTATGGATTAAATAGGCTTTCGTGGGCTAGCCTGGGAACCTAACTACCATTTATAACAGTGTTTCTGTGGGAAAATGTGTTCCGAGTTCCAATCAACTGATTTAACACCAACTTTTGGAACACAGCCCATTTATAGCTTGGGGACTTCCTGCACTGAATTCATGTGTGGATGGACTGCAGTTATTATGGACTTGTATGGCAAATATTTGCGATCATGTTTCCATGATCTAAAGTATTACATTTGTCCATCCATTAAAAATGCTCCTAAACATTGATTTCTCAAATTATTAAACTAATTTTTGTGTATGAAATAAAACTCGCAATTTTTAAAAAAATTTGTAATAGCAATTGAATATGGAAAAAATGCAAAAGTACCTAAATATGAATTGCTGCAGTAAAAAAGCGCTTTGGAGGACTCTGTTTTCATCAGGTGATAATTTGTTATAGAGATAGCTTTTACACAGTTTAAGTGCTTCTTAAAAAAGGCCTGATGAAACTAAAATTTAATGTATGCAATGGAAATGTATATTAGATACCTGTGAACTGATGATCTGCTTGAATCTTCTCAACAAAAATAAGTGGCTTCTGATGGTTTTAAATAATGGTAACTAGCTTAGACCTTTAACATCTTAACAAGGATGTTAAGAGGTGGGTAATTGACTAATTGTGTCGTCAATACAATTTGTATTGACTACATGATTAGTCGAGAAGGGAATGTGCTCTTTCCCAGTCGCGCTGATCCAGGAGCTACCCCTGCTGCGGCTTTGCAGTTTAAATGTAGTAGGAGCTGGTTTAAATGTAGCGGGAGCCTTGATCAAAGCTACTTTTAGGTTCACCTGTCAGGTTGCTTTAAATTCTGTGTATCTAGGAATCAAATCCAAGCATAAGATTTAATTGAGAACAGTGAAATATATTAAAGCTAAACACTTGCTTTGGGAGAGCTGGAAGGCTGAATGCTTTAGGTTGTAAAGCCGAGATGAAAAATAAAGGCCATGTTTCCTGCAGTTAAAAATTTATTTTCCTGGAACTGTCTGCATTGGTGATGGTTGTTAAAAATAGAATTTGGACAAGTTGAGTAACTTTTTTTATGTGAGGTCCATATAGCTATCCTGGAGAACTTACTTCAGAAGTGTGTGGGGCCTTGATGTACAGTGATCTATATAACACCATAGAGGAGCTTAAATGGGAGAAAGGGATGATGATGAGCAGAGCAGCTGAGGATGACTACCGCAATATCTTGGATAAGTGAGAGGAGGGAAAACAAATTAGTGAGAGGCAGATAGTTCAGAGAAGGGAAGGTTAAAGTAATAAAAATGTTAGATGATCAAGCTGTAGATGAGGAAAGGTTGGTGAGTTAATTTCCTTTATTGGACCAACTTCTGTTGGTGAGAGAGACAAGCTTTAGACTAGAGCTACACAGAGCGCCTCTTCAGCTCTGGGGAGGGAGCTGTCAGAGGCAGCAGCTGGAATGGGGCAAGTGACAACCAATACGCTTGGGGAGCTGACTTTGTGGGGCCGCCTGCCTCCCCCTTGCTGCTTTGAGCACTGGCCCCAGTGTGAAGTGTGTGTGGGGGGGATCGGGGAGGCTGCCACAAAGCAGCCTCTGTCCGTGGTGGGCCCAGGGTCGCTGCGGACAGAGGCTGCTTCATGGGATGCTGGCGCATCCTCTGTCCACAGGGATCTCAGGCTTTCTTTAAACGGGCTCCTTTTTCAGACCAGTTCCTGTGTGCCATCCTGCACTGTTGCTTCTGTATGGGGTGGCAGGGGGCTCCCCAGGATTGGAGCCAGGAACACACTGGATGCCAGCCCCGCCTCCGGGGACTATCGAATAGTCATGTAAGTGCTAAGATTTCATGCGGTTACACAACAATTCAGTTACATTATATCGAACATCCCTAATCCCTAGTACAGGACTGTAGGTTCAGATTACAAGGCTGGTTCCAGAAGGATCCTGGATTAGCCAAGGCTGGCAGAGAGGAGAGGATTGAAAGCAAGGATGGGTGTTGGGTGTCCAGGAGATATCTGGCAAGAGTTGGAAATGTAAAACCAGTTAGAAAGCAGAGATGAATTAGGAATCCCCCACACAGAGGTGATAATTGAACGTGATATGAAAGAGAACAGGCAGATGAATGCACCGAAAGGCTTCCACAGATTTGGGAGCAGGGAGAGTGATCAGTAAAGCGATGAGAGAAGCGGAGGCATGAAGGAGAATGACCACAAGCATCTGTAAAGGATGCATATGGCTCTAGAACAGGGCAGAGCAGGGCTTCCTCCCCTTACTAGGTTGTTAGTCACTTTGATCAGGAGCCTTTTGATGAAATAAGAAGGGCAAAAGGACTAGACAGGAGCGAAAATACGCCTCAGCAGGAGGCATGAACAGTGCACACAAGAATTTTGGTGACAAAGGGAGGGAAAGGTGGGAGGAGAGTAGGTGATAATCAGAGACACAGATGAGGCTAAGTGAAGTTTTCTGGTTATTTGTGCTGACTGGAGACAATTGTGGTTAGAGCAGCTGTTATGTGTAAGGGAGAGGGCACAAGGTGGGTCAAAGAGCAGTATAGTGTAACCCTCTTACTTAATGTCCTGGTAATGAAAATGGAAGGCTTCAAAGACAAAGTAAGTCATCAGAAGTGCTGGGCTGGATTAACATACACAAACTGAAGCAGCACCAGTGTATGTACAATTTTATAAAATTTGCTGCATACCTGGCTTATCTTCTAACCTGCAGGGCACTCCTAATTTTCATTTGCTTTTCTAAGCACTTAGAGATGCAGCTACTGTGTATTGTTGGAGGAGAATCAGGCTACGGTTACTGCTTCTCTGTTCTTTGGTCTTGAAGACAATGTGAGTTTACAAAGCACTGATGCACAGGTAGTTAAATGTGACAAAATATAGGACAGGATGGGACGTAATATGTAGAACCATCTTATTTGGGAGAGGTTATTTTCTCCCCTCTGGGGTTGTGTATTCTAGTTAGAGGATGGTATGGGCCTGTCTGAATTAAAGAGTACTTTAATTTCAGAGACTAAGGGCTTTATATAAAGCCCATTGAAGTTAATGGAAACTTCTTGTATTCGGTGTGCTTTGGGTGATACCCTAATTAATACTTCTGCTGAGTGCTGACCATAAAAGTTCATTTAAATACCAAATACAGATTGGACCTCCCTGGTCTGGCTCCCTCGGGACCTGACTGGCCCTAGATGAGGGATTTTGCTGAAGCAGGAGAGGTCATTTCTGGCCCCCCTGCTGCTGTCCATGCCCAGCTGAGAGGCCGCCCCCCAACCCAGCTGAGCCATGAGGCTCCCTGAGGGTACGTCTATACTTGCTCCCTAGTTCGAACTAGGGACTCAAATGTAGCCGACTGAAATTGCTAATGAAGTGGGGATTTAAATATCCCACGCTTCATTAGCATAATCTCACCCACGCGCTATTCCGCTCACCAGCTGATTCGAACCAAGAAGTGCACTCTGGGACGCGTTAGTTTGAATCAAACCCCTTGGTCCAAACTAACGTTACTCCTCATTAATTATTAATATGTTTTAGGTATATGGAAGGAGAGGAACAGTTTCATATATGTAAGTGAAACATTTTTAGGCAGTGTGTAAACTTAAATTTATGGTCTTAAATTTCACAAGATCACTTGTTAAATATTCTGATCTGATGTCAAAATATTGGCAAAGCATGAGCACATTTATTGTGAAATAGTGCAAGAAATAGGAAATAAAAACATTTCTTGGTTTTTCTCAGTCTTCAGAGGTATTAACTCATTTATGCTTGCTATTGCTTTAAAAGACTAGACAATCCTGATTTTTCTTTATTGTGGGGAACCTATTTTTTTTTCCTTTTCTAAAATTTGTATGGAATCTAAAACCAAAAATTTGCTAGGGAGTACCTAGTTGGTACAAACAATGCTGTTCCACGTAGTCACATTTGCTATCCTGATGAAAATTACATTTATGTTTCTCTCAGTTGTGTTGTAACTTGTGGCTCTGTGGCAACGTGTGTTGCTTGGTCGTAGGAGAATGATTTGGCAAGTTGAATACACAATACCTTTCTTGGTGTGCTTGTTTTTATAAGCTTCTGGCTATTTGGTGTCAGATGTGTAAGTTTCCTGTTTGTTATTCAAATAGCAATGATAAATGTCCAGAGTCGCACTTTTCCCACTGACTCTCACTGCTAAAGCTGTGCACAAAGTAGAACACAGTTCAGTTGCACTGCACTTGCTCAGGAACACTTGAGAAGTAGTGCAAATGGAATGCTGTAATGGAATAACACAAAGTGCATGACCTGCCTGACCAGCCACTTCCTAGAGGCTTATGCTCCTTAATTTCCTGCTGTTGAGCTTTTGCTTGGCATCATGTTAATTGTAAACATCATTTTCTTTTTCTCTCTTTCAGTCTGTATGACCAATTGCCCTACGCTGATTGTCATGGTGGGCCTCCCAGCCAGAGGGAAAACTTACATCTCCAAGAAATTGACGCGCTACTTAAACTGGATTGGAGTGCCTACAAAAGGTTCTGTTCTGTTTTCGTTTACATCACGAGGTTTCTCTTGGGATTTGTTAGGGCTTTTGTGCTTCTCTATTTCTTCCAACACTCTTGTCAATGTTCTTTTGTCAGTGTATACTTTCTTTCCACTTAAATTTCACTCTACATCGTATATCTCGTCTGATAATTTCTTCTCTTTTTCTATACAGAGTCCTGAACAAACTCCCTGTGTTTATCTTCTGCGTATTGCTTTGTATAGTTGTCTGACTAGTTTGGTATCTGAGAAGAGATCTTGTTTACTGGATGGGTCTGAATTAGCACTCCTGGAACCAATTCCTAATTTTATCATTGTCTCTTTGTGACCTTTGAGCAAATAAATCTCTTAACTGCTCTAAGCTAGTCTTTATCCTTATTATGTAAAATGGGTGCAATGGTATCTGCTCGCTGTTGCTCATTCGATAACGTTGATAAAGCACTTTAAGAGCCCTGATAAAGGGCAGTAGGTAAAAATAAAGTCAGAGTTCCTGCCCACTCCTCAAATGAACTATTAATCTTTAGAGATGACTAAATATTTAAGGTGTGGAAGATTTAACCAACTTTTGTGGATTTTGCACCTGCATTTAGATTGCACACAAATGGTTCGGCGGGCTAGCCTGGCACTTGGGAGATCTGGATTCAGTATCTTCCTCTGCCATATATTGTGCCTTGTATCTCCATCTGTACAATGGAATAATAGTACTTCCCTGCCTCACAGAAGTTTGAGAGGATAAATACATCACTAAATGTGAAGACTCAGTATGTTACTACAGTAATGAGGGCAATATAAATACTGTAGATAAATACATGTCATGCAGTAAAACAATATAGTGAATGTGAAAGGTCAAATTGCTGACTGCGTATGTTGAGATCAAATTCTTAACTACTTTTGAAGGAGAAATATGGAAAACGTGTTCCGGGCTGCATGTAGACTGCCATTTGACTTTGTCTCAACCTTCCTATTTAGTTTAGAATGGAGCTTTAAACATTATTATTTATAAATAAATATCAAACATTATTTGCATCAGGTAGATGATTATGGAGAGGGCATGTGGCTTATTGGTGGTTGATAAAAACTTAAACAGTGAATAATCCTACAGCACCTTAGAGCAGGGCTACTCAACTTTGGAAGACCCGGGGGCCACAGTGATCATCACAGAACATGCCGAGGTCCACAACTTAAGCATGGTTGCATATATATGCAAATATGTATGCAAATAGCTGTTCACACTGATGCACACAAATACAAAGATTAATGCAAGACTACACAATATGCAGGCCTCATATAAGTCAGTTCTGCTGATATTAATAAAATGCAATATTTACCCAATTTCCAACGATTTGCACTTTTAATGAGCAATGACAGTCCAGGAATTTAAGTACTAAAATGCATATCAACAGAAGACCATTCTATTGACTTGCTGTTGTGGAGCGTGTTCCCAGGGGAGGCCACGTTCAAAGGATCCCACCTGTGGACTGCGTGTTGAGCCCTGCATCAACCCAAACTGCACCGTAGGTCACATGTTGAGTAGCCCTGCCTAAGAGACTAACAAAAAATGTAGATGGTATCATGAGCTTTCATCGGTACAACCCACTTCTTCAGCTGAAACTGGTGGTTGATAGAAGCTTAGTATTCTTATAGTGGGGCGCATATATATATATATATATATCCAAAATATTGTCAGTTCTAATGTCCATTGTCCTCTTTTATGCAGGCCATTGCCTTCTTACAGGTATCTCAGACCAGCACTATTGTCTAGTTTTAAGAGAGAAGCTCTTGTCAAGAATTGTTCCTAATCAGAGCCCAAGGCAGAGAGCAAACTCTCTTGCTCATGCAATTTTTTTTCTCTCTCTCTCTCTCTCTCTCTCTCTCTCTGTCTCCCCATCCCTCCCCCTGCAGCTCCTTCTAACCAAAATTAACATCCCCTTAGTATGTCTTCCTGAGAGTCAAAACTTGCACATAAAGAAAAAAGAGCTTGGAAGGCAATGGAACAGTGCCCCGGTGACATCGCCTGTTCAGAGGATGGGCACATTAGCCATTTCACCACTTCACTGACTTTTTAAAAGAAACTTTTTTTTTTAAACGGTATCTAAGCTAAATGTCGCTCAGCAAGCTATTTCAGTAGCCTGAATTCCTCTGCTGCCTTACCACACTCCACAGTGGGATGGTTATTGAGCTCAAAGAGGTAAATGCTGGACATTCAACTTTGAGAAGCAAAAATCCTGTGTTGGACAAGAGCACTGTCTTATGTATTGTCCCAGACTTGGGGGAGTAGATTGTGGGGCTCATCCACAGGCACTGGCTTCCAGCTGCTGCTCAGTTCTGGCTCAGCCCCAGCTCTACCCCCAGTTCACCCTTTCCTCAAGCTCCTACCTTGCCTCTCCTTTCTCGCCCCCTTTCCCAAGCTTGCCTTGGCTAGGGTTGCGAGTTTTGGTTGGATGTGTTCCTGGAGGTTTCATCGCATGACATAATATTAGATTAAAGATTAATCTGTAATTCCAGAAAATTGTGGAGGGTAGGCAACATTGCCCTGCTCTTTCCCCTTCCCAGCGCCTCCTGCACACAGCTCTTCTGCGGTGCGCAGGCGAAGTTGATTGGGGCTTAGGGATGCGGGGAGCTTGGCTGGCAGGGGGTGCTAAGCACCTGTTGATTCCAGTTGCAGTAAGCAGGGACAATTGGCTTGTGTTGGGGTAAAAACTCCACAGACTGTCTTAGGTAACTGATCTGTAAATTTAGATATTTTTCTAAAAAATTAAATTGTAAAACGAGCTAGATGCTCAGGAAGGTGCACTCCCCTCTGTATACACTCTAGAATAAACCTTGTACTTTGCACGGTTCAACTGCTGTCTCTAACTCCTGCCTTAGCTGGTCAGTGAGGGTTGTCCGGCTTGTGGCTGCTAGGGGTTTACAGTCATAGGCCTGTAGTGTAGTCCTCTCTGCCGCTGCTGCAAAACACATCTTGCATTTAATCTTTAGCTTTAGGGTGAACACCTTGTTATGTGGTAATCATGAAGGCAATTTCATCACAGCTGAATCAGTTTAAAATACCTGTCCTGTAATCGAGTTGAGCGTCCTCACCCCATTTTTATGGAATCACCAGGGCTGGTGTTTAGACTTGCTGGGGCCTGATGCCAAAGCCTAAACTCCACCACCTGGAGCAAAAGCTGAAACCCAACAGCTTCCGTCCTTAATGGTGGAGCTCAGGTTATAGCCCCCCCCCCTCCAATCTGCAACGCACATATTTTGGGCTTTGCCCTCTCCTCGCACCTGGGGTGTGGGACTTGGGTTAGCTTATGCTTTGGTCCCACCTCCTGAAGTCATGTAGTGATTTTTGTTGTGAGAATGGGGTTGTAGTGAAATGACATTTGAGAACCCCTAGAGAAGATAGATAATGCATTGTCTATTTGTCACAGGTTAACGTAGATGATCTTTTGTGTAATAAATGTCTGGCCTTGTATGCTTTTCACCCTGAGGTTTCTTAATATCATTGAAAAATAGCAGAATGTACCCAGTATAGTAAGATTTTAAAGCCTTTGATGTAGGTATTAAAGTTATTAGATTATCAAAAATCCAGAGGCTAGGTGGGTGGCATCTTCTCACGTAGAGTCTAAGAACATTGAGACAAGTAGCCGGAGGATCCCATAATGAGAATTATTTAAAGATACCTTCTCTAATTCTTTCTGATCAAATCAAATCCAAGTAGCCCAAGGTTGCTGAGTGCTCATATTCAATTGAATTTCAGTGAAATTTCATTAGGCTTCTTTGGATAATCCCAAATTGTGTATCACAGTTGGAGCACAAGGTGTGAAACTAAATTGGGTTGCTTCAGTGAGATTTATGTCTTAAGTAAATACTAATCATAAGGAAAAGGGAGAAGTAAAATATAATCGTTTTTTTTCTTTTAGAAAATTTCATGTATTGCTGATCTTGCTAAACTATTTTTGGTAGTTCTGCATTTTAAAGGGCTTGGACATGAAGAAGCGGCCTGTTTCTAACCGTTCTTTTCCCTAATCAGAATATTCTTCTTTTTGGTTCTTAAATGTTTCATGGTGGCATCATGACTAGTTTGTGTGGAAAGTGTCTTGATGCCATGCAGTTGGTTACTAAAGTTTTCATCGACCATACTAGATAATTTATTGCAATGACTGTTCAAATTCAGCTGTATGTTTTGCCAAGGATTAAACTACTATTAATTTCATAGTTTGTATCCCTTTTCAGTGCACATTTTTATGCTGTTGTCAGGACAATCTGAACATCAGCTCAGTAATTAATTTCTCCTAATTCTTTGTCTTCTGGAAATGAAGACTGGCAAGTACAGATTCTTCAGGAATGGTCTTTGTCAGTAGTTCCTCATACAGAATGTTCAATCCAGGTTAGTTTAAACAATATTCTCAAGCAAAGAAAACCATAAACACAAAAGAAGTTAAACATTTGTTACTGTACTTGGATCTCTATTTTATGAACTTAATAATGGTACAATTCCATTATCTTGTTTGCAAAGTTACTGCTTACTTTGATCACCTGTGCCGTGATGCTGCTGCTGGCATAGACCTTTGTCCAGACACAAGACAGTTCACCTTTGATTAGTGATACATTTTATTCAATACATGTGCAATAAATGCATTGTACTTTGTACCTCTCTCTGAGTTTTTAATACATGGTATGTTTTTCAGGATGCCTATTACTACTTTCAGTTCATGGGGGGGGATGGGGGGGGAGAAGATGGAGAGAATGTAAGGTGTATTTAGCTAAAATCTAAGATGGCTAATTCCACATATAACACTTTTCTCTTTATGTGATAATTAGTCTTTGGATATTAAATTGCAGCAAGGGAGGTTTAGGTTGGACATTAGGAAAAATTTCATGACTGTCTGGGTTGTTAAACACTGGAATATATTGCCTATGGGGGTTGTGGAATCTCCATCACTGAAGATATTGAAGAGCAGGTTAGACAGACATCTATCAGGTATGATATAGACCGTGCTTGGGCCTGCTGTGACCTCTTGAGGTCCATTCTGGTTCTGTGATTAGGTGCTATAGAAATACAGTTTCATGAAAACAATTTGTGGAAGGAAAAAACTATCTGTAAAGTGCTTACAATAATATAAATTAACTCGCATCTCTGTGAGGAAGGAAGCAACTTACCCCACTTTAAAGGTGGAGAAACTGAGGCACAGAAAGAAGTGATTTGCCCAAAGGTGTACACTACACTGTTAAATAGAACCTATATTTTCTCACACTCAGTCCTGTTCTTCAACCACAAGGCTTTTCTTTACTGAAATGAGAAGTATAACTAGCTTTGTTGTCCTGATATAAACCAGACTGATCTGTTCCTGGAGATGAATTTGTTTCAGAATTGTCATTGAATTTGATTTTTAAAGATGCCCAATTAATAGTGACTCTTTTCCACAGAATTTAATGTTGGTCAGTACCGTCGAGATTTGGTAAAAACATACAAATCCTTTGAGTTCTTCTTGCCAGACAATGAAGAGGGCTTGAAAATAAGAAAGTAAGTTGGAATATTTTTAGCTTTACAGAATGCCTGTTTAATTCTAATGGTTTGTTATAATTTTCTATTCAAAATGCTGTAAATTTTGATTTTGTATGTCCCGGAGACCTCTGTAGGGCTATGGCATCAGATAGCAAAGAAGTGAAACCTTAGAGCAAGTTCATGGATGACACTAAGCTAGGGGGAGAGGTAGATACGCTGGAGGGCAGGGAGAGGCTCAAGAGTGACCCAGACAAATTGGAGGATTGGGCCAATTGAAATCTGAGGTTTAATAAGGTCAAGTGCAATGTCTTGTACTTGGGATGAAAGAATCTCAAGCACGGTTACAGGCTGAGAACCAATTGGTTAAGCAGCCGTTCTGCCGAAAAAGACCTGGGGATTATAGTGGATGAGAAGCTGGATATGAGTCAACAATGTGCTCTTGTAGCCAAGTAGGCTAATGGTATGTTAGGGTGCATTAGGAGGAACATTGCCAGCAGATCTAGGTAAGTGATTATTCCCCTTTTATTTCCCCCACTATAGAAGGGACGTGGACGCATTGGAGAGGATCCAGTGGAGGGCAACAAAAATGATTAGGGGGCTGGAGCACATGATTTTTGAGGAGAGGCTGAGGGATTTGGGCTTAGTCAGTCTGCAGAAGAGAAGAGTGAGGGGGGGATCTAATAGCAGCCTTCAGCCACATGAAGGGAGAGGGGGTTTCCAAAGAGGGTGGAGAGAAGCTGTTTTTAGTGGTGAGAAATGAGGATTATTTGATGAATTTGTAATAGCTTGATAGCCCTAATTTTCAATATGTTCCAATTAGTGGTTCAGGTGAGTTGGAGCTGCTCTGTCTCCGTCTGACAGTTTGAGAACTGCTTTGTACTTTGTGTGTGCAGTAAAAATCTACTGGTGAATTGCACCGATTAGCTTTCTGTTTGTTGTGCTTGGGAATTAGGCATAGGGAGTGAAGCACCAGCGGTGAATACTGTGGGCAAAGAAAGCAGATGGAATGCCTCCAAACTGCGAGGAGGGAAGGCTGCTGCTCATGCTGAGAGAACCACTGGTATGGAGTGCAGGGAGGGTTTCTGTATCGCAGAAGCAGAGATGAGGGAGGCAGGTGGGCAGCATGAGAAGAGCGAACCAAAGTCTCTCTCTGAAATGTGTATCTTTCTTTTCTTATCACTGAAACCTTCAGTTCATAATTTTGTATTTCTCTTGCAATGAGCAATATTCTAATACCAGGAACAGGGCAGTTTGCAGAAGAACCTGCTGTATGGTCGTGGCATGAGATAGACGGTGCATTTCATTGATCTTTTACTTATAGATCAAATTCAGGCTTTGTGTGTTTCCATGATGGTTTTAGACTATATGGCTGGAATTACAATAGTCGATAAGCTATGTGATCAGATCAGCCTTTTTGGCTGAGAGTCAGTTATTGTAGGAGTGATTGATTCATCTTAACTTCCAAACCCTATTAAGTAGCTGTGTATGTAGAAATGTATGCAAAAATAAGTTGTAATGAAAACAACATTTTTTTTTCTTTTAAGACAAGTTTTTACCCAAAGCACAGAATATAGCTTTCACTTGGTGGAATTTCATTCCAGAACTTAAAGAATAGCAATATCACTAAAACCCATTGTAGGATATTGATCCAGATGTGGTTCAAATCCAGCCTGTTTGGTAGCTATTATATGTCATTTTGGCTGGTAGCAAAAATTGTTGCTATCTGATGATCCATGTAACATATGCCATTTCCTAGTAGATTACTACTCTTTGTGAAATGGACAATTTAACAGACATTATCAACAGGATTATTTAGGCATTGAAAATATTATTTCACTTTGAGATTATTACTAGATCTGGTTAAATAATTGAATGGAAGGAAATTGGTCTGAATGTTTGTCCATTTTAAATCAAAATGGCAAGGTTTTCTTTGTTTTTTTTCAGCTCTCTAAATATTGCGTAGTTTCATTTGTAATTTAGTTTTGTACTGATGGCTTTGGTCATGCTAATTTACATTAAAATGAATACACACTGCATTTAAGACAAAATGAATCGGACATGCTGAAGACAATAGAAAAAAAACATAAGAAATCCCAGCATAGATGTCCAAAACACGTAGACTACTGAGAAATATCTTGAAGCATATATCTGCAACAGTTATTCATTTTAACTTAAGAAAATGAGGCCACAGTTCAAAACACTGAGCAGCCATGTCATCTTACTAGAAAAACAAGTTAAGAGTCAATCACCCATGGATAAGTGTTCGGGGAACGGGGGGCGGGGGCGGGAGGGGAATGGGACTGGACATTCATTTTTAGTGGCATTTTAAAAAGAGTATTTATATTATGGATCTGTGAACACTGAGCTAGGGTTGTACACTAGGCAGTAGAACATTCAGAATGTTACCTGCTGACCTGGGCAGTGTTAAAAGGCCTGCTTTTGTTTTCGTCCAACGCTGTGTGGCCGTGATCTATGGCCTTGGGTGAGTCAGTTGACCTTTCTACCTATTTCCCCACCTGTATTGTGGAGATAGTATAGAATAGATCGAGTATATTGATGTATGACCAATGTTTCTGCAGCACTTCGAAAGCAAAGAGCTATGTAGTTCTAAGCGCAATTATGGATGATTAAATTAAACTAGCATATGTCTTTTTCCCTTTAAGACAGTGTGCCTTAGCAGCGCTGAATGATGTCCAACAGTACCTCAGTGAAGAAAATGGGCATGTGGCTGTAAGTTTTCTGCCTTTTTGAAGGCAAAGTTTTGGGGTGTGGTCTCTGCAAAATGATCAACCTGTACTGGTTTATACATAATCATATTCCATCCACAATCATTTCATTATGTGTGTTAAGTAGCAGTGAGAAAATGTAACTGTGAAAACATTTAACTGATGAGCCTTCATGGTACCAGAGGAAGCCGCAGGGGGAGGTAAGTGGGAATCACCTGTCTCCCACCCCTCCTCCATGCTTCTGCCTTTGATACAGAGGCAGCAGTGTGGAGGTGGGAGGCAGGCGGGAGCTGGTTCATGGGGAGTCCCATGTGTAACCATTTCAGCGGTTAAGTAAACGCATTTTAACATCCCTAGCCTTAAGTTTTCTTTGTAAATGGAAACTGGATTTATGTTGCTACTGCAGTGGTTGTCATGTGAAGGAAAACATGATATTTTTATAATTAAAACCTGAAACAGCCCTTAGAAATGTCTGGATGATGTCTAATGCTACCAGTCTGTGCTAGTGCTGAGGGAAATGCCTGTGTACCTATGGTAAGATATCCTATTGAATTGTAATATAGATGCATCCAGAGCCATTTGGTATCCTACTCCAATGTTTAAATCAACGTTTAAAATGTTTTTAAAATTCTCCTAAAGAAGTGTCTTTATACTAGTGTTGTTGAATCTCTAAAAATGTCTGGGAGAAGTAGTAGAAGGTAAAATAAAATCCAGTGGGGCACAATGAATGGGTTGACAAATGTGCAACGCTGGTGGCAGTACATCAGTGTTTTAAATTTTGCTGGCATTTTTGCTGCAAACTCCCATTGCAATGCCATATAACTGTTAATGAAAAACTACTTTCAAATGTGCGCGCACACACACACACATGCCGTTTCTTTCTGCTAAGTTTATAACTTAATTGGCTTATTTTTTGAGATTTGCATCTTCAGTGCAAAATTTGGCTGTTAGAATCTCTGCTCATCTAGTGTCAAGATTGAAAACAGCTGTTCATCAAATGTCATTTTAATTCTGTTTCCTCTGGAGGGTTAAGTTTTTTGCACAACTTGAACTCTGTTTTTGAGAATCTGTTGACATGTGAAGCTGTTACTCAGCATTCAGTGAGTTAGTCAAACTAGCATTTTGTTGTAAGGTTAAGCCATACTGTCAGACTCAAAAGAACATTTTATATCTTATGTACTATTTAAATGTCAGCTTATGAAGAAATGAATGCCTGTTTCACTATTAGGAAAACCTACAATTCTTGGGTATGATTTATAAGTTATGTAGCACTCTTGCTATCTGTTTAGATCATTACACCTTACTGTACATTTTAATGTTTTGACTAATATAGTGCTTGTTTATATACAATAAGGTGTATAGTTACCTGCCAAAGAAGTTTTTCTATTAGAATATATAAGGATCTCGGTGTAAAATATGCATTTATTTCAAAACTCAATCTGTCTGTGAGCTCATAGTAGTGCAGATATCTCTTTATTTCTTAGTGTTTAGACACCTAAGACAGATCAGTAAAATAAAACATTAGAGCTAAATTTTTTCCTATTATTTGGAGTATTGAAAAATAAAGACATGTTATTTAAAGGATTCTTTTTATTTTTATGCTCAATTTTAAAAATAAAAATACATTGCAAAATGCAGCTCATTTCATAGATATTTTAACTAACACGAAAGTTTGCATAATAGAATTTGTGGCTGAAAATATTTGCATCTAGTCCCATTTTGCAATATGCCCCAGATATGTGCAGTTATTGCCCAACAGTGTTCACTTTGTACATTCTGCTTATGAATAGGAATATTATGAATGACTTCTAAAGTCACTATAAATGAAGTATAATTCTTGCCATTTATTATAGTCAGACTCTCTCATTAGCTCATGCTTCTCCATTTTTATGTGGATAATCACATACTATTATGGAGGCTTTCCCATTTTATCTAGTTTCTGAAAGCTTTTGACAGCTGAAAAACTTCTATAGAGAAATCCAATAAGTTTATCTCTTTTGTACTGGTCTGACGAGTTTGACTATATGCAGCTATTTAAATGTCTGGGAGGTACATGGCGTAATAACAAAAGAGCAAAACAGGATCTCATGAGATCATGCTCATCATGTTTGTTCTTGAAGTGAATACTATTGAGACTTTTATTTTCTAAAAGTTTGGTGTGTTAAATTAGATGAGTTTGAAAATTCTAGCTTTAATAATCAGGAGTACTGAACTAGTTTGTCTTTCTCTGTGGGGCATTTACTTTTTGAAAATGGAGACCACTGTAAAAATGAAACTTGATATTTTCATTGATGCATACTGCTAGGACAAGTGAAAATGCTTCAGAAAAGTAGGCTCTGAACCCAATATTAATTTATTTGTTCAGAATTCTTATGGTCATTTTTGCCACTGCTTCTGCAAATGGTTCATTCCTAGGAGTTTATGAGATTTTGTTTGTTGTTTTTTAGGTTAAAGGACATGGAAACTTTTATTGATAGTTTGATACTTTTGTCAGTATAGTATGTGGCAATATTTTAACGCTATTCTGATATGTTTTTCTCTGTCATTTGTCTTAGGTTTTTGATGCTACTAACACAACACGAGAACGCAGAGAAACAATCTTCAGATTTGGTGAGGACAATGGCTACAAGGTGAGTCAATAACTAAGATGTTTGGAATATGACTCTGGATTTGTTCGTTTTGACTTACGCTCTAGTCACTTTCTGATCAGAATTGTGCTCACACCGGCTAAGTTTTTAAATGGTGTTAGCCAATTGAGATCTAGCACATTTTTCCTGACAAGTTTAGAAAGGTGAGGGTTTTTTCCCTGAGACTCATGCTGTTTGCACCCTATTGAAATTAATCAGTAGGCCTCTTTTATGTTATGGCTCCTGTAGACTGTTGCTTGCCATGCTATTCAGGTAGCAATAACTGTATCAAACATGGTTGTCATTAGTCTAGTTCTGATTCTGATCAAGGTTCTGTCACTGTCTTCCTTAGTAACTTTGATACATGGAGAGAGAATTTCTGTCTTGGTTAGAGTTTTGTACAGATAAGAAGTTTTATATTTGAGCATAGGAATTTTTGGCATTCGGCATGTACCAAAGATGGGTACATGAACTGATGGAATCTGTGTTTGTGTAATTACTGGAGCAGTTTTAATGTCTCTTCTTTCTTCCCTCTTACTTCACATGTGATTTCCTGTTTGGATTATAGACATTCTTTGTTGAATCAGTATGCGTAGATCCGGAGGTCATTGCTGCAAACATCGTGGTGAGTTATAGGAAGGTTTTCTTAAATTGAAGATAGGAGTTATTGTTGCTTCTCTAAAATCAGCCATATTATGAAGATGGCTTTTTCTTACCTTTCATTTAGTCTCATTTTCTCTCTCCTTTCGCATTAGTCTTGCTGAAGCACAGAGCAAGAATGTCTTTTCATGGCAGTAATATAAAACTGTGCCCTTTCATTTTAAGAGGAAACATTATTAGCAGTTGGGTCATGCTTTGTATTGGTTCTGTTTTTTCTTTAATCTGCCTTTAACCAGGCTGTGCTTTGAATGGCTTATTTTACCAGGACTCCTAAAATAAAAGAAACCTCAGCTCATTTTCCATTGGATTTGTTTTCCAACCCATCTATCAAATAAATATGGACTTTAGTTTTTGATTAAAAGCAGCCATCTACTGCTACACACATCTTCAATGTTCAGAAATTTAAATTTGGTTCAAATTTCTTTAAACTTTAAAATGGGAAAGAAAATGCATGTGCTTTTTTATCTTTATTTTAAATAGCAAGTGAAACTTGGCAGTCCAGATTATGTTGATTGTAGTAATGATGAAGCTACAGAAGACTTCATGAAAAGAATAGAGTGCTACAAGAACACATACGAGATGCTAGATGAAACTCTTGACAAGTAAGTGGCAGCATAATACTGTGGTCATAGCCACTTTATTTTATGACATGGCATTAGGGAATGTGTACTCAGTCTGCTTCTCAAGGAAACATCACTTTTTTTTACTTTCTCAATTTGTTGGCAATTTAGAGAAACTTTCTAATGCTCTAGCAGCTTGCCTACATGCGGAAGTGACTATCATAACTATTCCACCATAGCTGTCCCTGAGTGGACTCTCTCTCTTGAAACAAAAGTGCTTTAATTACTTGACTCGCAATTTGCTAGAATCAGAATAAAGTTACTTTTATTTCAGAATACTGCCCACGTGGAAGACGTACAGGCAGTCCCCGAGTTACGTGGATCCGACTTATGTCGGATCCCTACATGTGAACGGGGCTTTTCTCGCCGCGGAGGACGGGGGCGGCGGGACCGCCCAGATGCACCGCAGTCCCGCCGCCCGCGTCCTCCGGGACGAGAAAAGCTGCTCCGCATCTCCCTGGTCTGCTGGGGGGCGCTTTCCCCCCGCCCCCCAGCAGACCAGGGAGACGCTGAGCAAAGCCGCGGAGGACCCGGGCAGCGGGAAAGCCCAGACGCGTCGCGGCTGTCTTTGCTCCCTGTCTCCCTGGTCTGCTGTCTCCAGCAGATCAGGGAGACGCAGAGCAAAGCCATGGAGCACGCGGGCAGCGGGACCGCAGTGCATCTCGGTCTGCCGCCACGTTTCCCTGGTCTGCTGGGGGGGGCGGGGGCGCGCAGCTAGTGC